ATATCTTCCTGAAGGGGAGCCCGCTCGTAGGGGGGGGGGGCGGAACCCACTGTGTCCACATATACTTTACAACACGAAGCGAGGTCCACCCCACAATTGTTGTGTGGATGGGAAAATGTGTATGTGGACACAGTGGTTTCCGCCCCCCCTCCCTACGGAGGGGCTCCACTTCTGGAAGATATAACCTAACCCAAACCAAATTTTTAATGTAAATAATTATCAAATTTGGAGTGAGTAATTTGCTACTTGTGTTACGTTGTACAATCCAATCCAAATTTTTGTTTCAAATCAGACTTTAACTTTAAATGTCTCAGAAATTATAAGAGACCGCGATTAAGTTATAAGAAAAAGTTATTCAGAGTCATGTCCTTGACAACATATGTCAAGGTCAAAGTCATTGGCGAGGTGTCCGTTAATGTAAATAATTACCAAAATGTTTAATTGTTATTCTTATATTTTTTCTGAAAAATATTATGACTCTTGCATAATCAAAAAAGATTAAACTTCTTGATTCGATAAAAAAATATTTTTTTTATAAATATGAAATTAAATGCAAAGAAATATTATTTACTTTGTGGGCACACTGAATAATTTTTACAAAATTGGTTAACTTGATACATTAAAAAAAAATTAATCAAAGATTTGTTTGTAGTTATATTTGTATAATTATTCCCAAAGTTATTTTTTTCATCTTGTAATTTTAAACATTTCACATGCATATATGATATATCCTACAAACATCGTCCCCGTCTCGTTTAACATAGTCATTCCAATACAAATAACTGCGTTTTTATGCAGTAAAATTAAATAAAAATATTTTTCTTGATCGACAAAATACTCATTGTCAGTCACGATTTGCACTGTCTGCTGTAGTTGAGACTCGTTTATATGCAAATCAGTATCAAGAATCTGTGGCCAAAATGACAGTAAAATGGTAATAAATGCACCGCACATAACTAAGAACATTTAAAAGGAATAGTTACATAAATAGGAATTGGAATAGTTATGTACATACTACTATTTGTTTATGTTCCAAAATATGTTGTGTTTATGTATGTTTCAAATATATCGATATTTTTTAAAATAATTTTATTGTTTGATGTTTCAATCATTTTTTGCTCTAATATTTTTGCAAAATATTGATTGTGAAATTTTGTATATTTTTAATACAATAATACATATAATAATAATTCTATTAATAATTAAACAAGGTTAGAAATATATGTACAAATATTTTCTATAATGCAATTTTTATAATTTTTATTTTAATAGAAACATGGTTAATATATGTAGGTTAAGAATCACAAAATGATTAATCGGATTAATTGAAATGTTTAATTTGTATCGCGATTGTAATTTGTCTAATTTCACGTGTAATCATTGCTATAAAATAACGTCTTACATATAGTTGTAAAATATTTCGCGTTAATATTATTATCACGATTATTATTATAGGTAAAATGTTTATTGCAGCAATTTCAAAATATTTATAACCAGTTAAAAGACAAAAACAAAGCTATTATTGAAAAGTATGGAAATAACGCGTATTTCCATACTTTTCAATAATAGCTTTGTTTTTGTCTTTTAACTGGTTATAAATATTTTGAAATTGCTGCAATAAACATTTTACCTATAATAATAATCGTGATAATAATATTTAACATTGTTTTTAATTTAAAAATTTAAATTATCGCGTCTAAAAAAATTATTTTTTCAAGAAAGATTTACTCGAGTAAATATTGGGTTGAACGGAAAGTTCGTGCCGTTTTTTCGGTCTTCATCTCTTAGTAAAAAACGGGATAAACTTTCCGTTCAACCCAATATAATGAAAGGAATCAACATAAATTATGAGCGTTCATCCAAAAAAAGTTGTACATAATCACATAACGACTAAAAAACATTGTGGTAGAAAAAACTTTGATGATGAATTCAAGTGTGCACTCTGTAGTTATAAGCGCTGTGAACTGCAATCAATCAGTTTATTAAGAAAATAGAGTTTAAAAGAACACGGCTTTTTTTAAATAAAATAAAATAAAAAGGGCAATAAAAGCCACGCGCAATAACTGGGGCGCAAGAATAGTTTATTATAATCTATCAATATGAAACAAAAAACGTTTTGGTCTCACTCTTTGGGCCATCTTTTTTAGTTTTATTTAGCAAATAATACCCGAATTTGTCATAAAATACCTTACAAAATAGATATATTATTCCATTTGGAAAAATAAATAACTGTCATATAAATAATATTTAAAAGAGAAATAATTAAAATTCTTGTTTATTATATATACAGATCTTCTTAAACAAAAAAAAATTTTAAACTTTTTTTATATAACTATTATTTAAAAAAGTAACTGAGTATATACACACTTGTTTTTTCTTTTTGTTTTTTTTGTAACATTTAATAAAAAAAAATTTTTTATTTTCTGATTTTCTACACGTGATCTTATTCCATACATACGCGGATTTCACACACATACACAATGACATTGCTATAATACCTGCTTTATAAAAAATATGTAATAGCTATATGTAATAACTAAAGGGAATACAAAATATTGAAAACAAAGCTCCTGTACTTTAACAATTTTATCAAAGAAGGGACGATCGATTTCACACAGAAAGAAATTTGACAAGTGTTTGTTTCACGCATAGAGAAACATACATAAGGTTGCTTCTCGATCGAAGCCTGCGCAAGCGTAGAGATGCTTCTTTCCAGCGACGCGGTTTCATGCTTCAGTCTTGTGCGTGCACTCGTGAGGGATGCTTCACTTTGAAAAGAAATGGTTATCGATTCGTCACGTGTATCGTGTCGGTTATAAAATTATTACCAGCGGGATATGAGGTAGGACGCATCTTGTGTCAAGTCCGTATAGAGTAAAGAACGGTGAAGTATGATAGTGTGGTACTTAACAACTGTAATATGACGTATATTTTCTCGTTTTATTTATTACTCCTTTTATTTGTTAAACATATTTTAAGTTTGTGAAAGATATAGTGTTTATAAGTGTATCTATAAATACAGATTAATATAATAAACACTTTTATTACAGATATCTTGTTTTCCCACTCTCACATATCTATTATAGAAGCAACACAAATGACAATATTTTATCAACAATTATTGATTTTTATTTCACTTTATTGCACGATATTGAATCTGTCATAAAATATCTCTTATAATTTTTAGTAAGATGGATATGTTATTCCATTTAAAAAAATAAAACTGTTACATGAATAACATTTAAAACAAGATGAAAATTGTGCAAATTAGAAACTTGCACATTGCTTTCTCATCATTTTATTTTACTCACAAAGCTTAAGCTCCTTAAAGCAAACAGATTTTTGCAATTGAGATATCGGCTTCCTCATTGAAGAAACCGATATCTCGAAATTTGCGAAAGTTAGAGCATGTACAGACATTTCTCAAAAAACTCAAAATTTTATAAAAAGTGAACATTTATCTTAAAAATTTAATTATTTTATCAGAAATGAATCCTTTCACCAATCCTCACCAAATTCAATACCAACCATCTTTTAATAATACTTTATTCATGTAAAGAAAAATTTGCGAAAGTTAGAGCGTGTGCAGATATTGCTAAAAAAATTCAAGATTTTATAAAAAATGAATCTTTTCACTCATCCTCACCAAATTCAATACTAATAATCCTTTAATAATACTCTATTTATGTAAAAAAAAATTTAACCCGATATCTTACATACATACATACATACATACATACATACATACATACATTTTTTAGAACTATAATTTTTCGACGTTTTGGGACATTCTAAACACATCAGCATAAAAAACTCGAAAAAAAATTTTGTCACGAAAACAAAGCTTCCTCTATGAGAAAGCAAGAAAACAATAATTTAAAATTTTTGTTTAAATCACATTATACATATAAATTTATAGATCTCCGTAAAATAACTTTTTTATTCGATACATTTTTTATATAACTCTATTATTTAAAAAAATAACTAAGTGTATACATACTTAGACCAAACATACACTGTATATTCTGAAACACATATATATTTCTTACCGTAACTGCACCTTCCAATGATCCCACAATCAATCCAGCAATATTTAGACTGAAAATCTTGGTACTTCTTTGCAATAAAAACAATATCATTTTTTGTATGTTTAAAGAAGCTGTGTACCACTGAATATTATATCTATATGATGACAAATTAATGATTAGAGAAGAACAAGAAAATTTATCAATTATTTTTGTCACACGCACATACACACTTATTATGTTTGTTTCTTTTAAATTATAGTAATTATATATGATTCTTTTTTATTATATATTCTTTTATATTTTATTATATAATTTTTTTTATAATCCGCAAAACGAATACACGTGCGTGATTGTATGGTATGGATGTTTTCCTTACGCAGTGGCAAACACATCATTATTGTGATCCATAACTTTTTGTGCAACATAATCGCCTACAAATACATACGACGTATAAACGATCACACTTAGTAAAGGTAAGAAAAGTTCCTCAGCGTCATATCCAAATGACAGCACCTGAAAAAGCTAAAGTACGAGTGCAATAAAATCTTAGCTAAGAGCTGAGCGTTAATTTTAAAGGGAATTTCGAATTAGACTGAATAAGTCGGTGAGAATTAGGATTGCACAAGACTCAAAACAAGATATAAATATATATATATAGTTTATTTTGTTTATTGTATTAATTATTTCTAAATTTGTTAATATGCATGTTTTTATTTATTAAATAGAAATATCAAGATTAGTCTTGATATCTCGTGCAACTCTAGAGAAAATTTGACAGTGATTGGAAAATTCGAGAGTAATTAATTTTATGATAAAGTTTATAAGTGCACTTAAGAGAAAAGAGATAAGACTTACTCGAAAAAAATTGAGACTTGCGCTAATCACTCCGACTACTATTATAAAGGAGAACATTACTTTAAATCTTGATATCGATGAGTCTGAAAATCTTCGAGAAAGAGAAAGAGATAGCATTATGCGTACTTCCTGCACGTATTATCGTTTTATAAATACCTCATAGCTTCGCGATGCATATCCACGGCATGAATCAACTTCTTATAAATCAAACTATTTCGTAGACTGCCCTTTCGTAAAGTATCGACTGCCAATGCTTGCTCGAGGCGATAACTGCGAATGATTTTTTTGCCGTAATTATACACAGGGCGTTTCATAATCTCCATAGTATTATATATAATACTTTATTAGCGTGTTCTAGAGAAAAATAAAGTCAAAAATTCTAATACAAAAACTTTGAGGCTGCAATAGTTTTTGAGTTATAAGCCAACAAAGTTTGACAATGATATCGCTTAGAACTCGCGCACTTAGGTCCGTAACTATATTTACACGCGTACCGATCTACCATCTGTTATTGATTTTTTCGAGTCAGGTGATATTGATTTTTATTGCACAGCTGATTTTATTTTGTGGTTTTCTATGTACATATGTATTACGCATACATTGTATATTATGATGATAGGCTAATATTAACAAATTATAAATCTTATACGGAGAGAGAAAACATTTAATTCTTAAATAATTTAATTATATTATTGGATAATAACTATTTATTAATAATAAATATTAATAATAATGGTAAATATAGCAAAAAGGAGACCCAGCCTCAATGACCTTGACGTTGATATACGTTGTCAAGGACATAATTCTGAGTACCTTTTTCTTCTAATATAATCGTCGCTCGTTGATTGTTAAAAAGTTAGTAACAAAAAAAGTTTGAAATATACCGAAGTACATGCACGGACAGGAAGCACGCGCGCGCGCGCGCACACACACGCACACACACGAGGGGGTGCAAGGGGGGCCTTCGGCCCCCTTCCCGCGCCCATTCCGCCGGCAGGCAGGGTGGAGCTCGCGTGTCTCAGCATTTTTTGTGGATAGCCAAAACGAAATGGTAAATGGATGTATTTTTGCTTACAACATTTATAAATAAACTAATTTATTATTATTATTTTTAAAATTTTTGTGTGTCTGTAACGATGGATCCCCCCATCGTTAACCGGCAGTTGACCAGCCGGAAATCTGCCAACCGGCGAACATAAGCCGGGCAAAGGGCAGAGGCGCCCTTTTTAATACATATTGTTAGTAAATTAAACGGCTGTACGGCCGTTACACGGCCGCCGTTAAGGTCATCAAAATTCCGTAAGGACATAATACGTAAGCGTAAAAAATTGACCAATCCCAATCGAGTATTGGGCTTTCCATAAAAATGGAGAGGTTACGGAGAGCTAAATACTGGAGTGAGATTGGTCGATTTTCTTACGCTTACGTCTTACGTCCTTACGGAATTTTGTGTGTGATGGCTTTTCGATCCGCGCCGAAACCGAACGGCGCCAAGCGCTCCTGAATAGCGTCGAATGCCTCCTGCCGAAACGCCGCGATTCCCCCACTGAAGGGTAACGACGCGTTTACCGCTAATTATCGGGTATAAAACAGATGCCAAATTATCAGGCACCAGACCGGTACCTGAAACCACTCGAGCAGCACGCACGAGATATTCCGAAACCGGGAATTAAAAAAAAAAGTATAAAACATTTTAATTCTAAACTTTGCATATTTATTAAATAACATTTCAAGTATATCCTGAATGTTTTCAAACAAAAATATTTGTTTGTTTCGGAGTTATAGTAGTACAACAAGAGGGTGCCTTAAAAAAAAATTGTTCGTGGCGAACATCATTCCAACCATTATAGTCATCTGAAATAAAAAACCAAAAAGATTTTTAATCTGTATGAGTGTGGCTATCGCGAAAACCAGAATAGAAAAAAATATTGAAAAATAAAAAATAGCAGGATCTCAAAAAAATATTTTATTTTTCACCAAAAAATTGGTTAGTTTTGTAAGTTGCAAAATTTGAATTTTGCAGATATCGATTTAATAGTTCACACGATAACTACACTCATACAGATTTAGAATTTTTTGTTTTTTTTTTTATTTCAGATGACTGGCTGGAATCATGTACACCATTTTTTTTTTTTTAGATTAGGATACTATACCTGGTTAGGATACTATAACTTCGAAATAAATAAATATTTTTGTTTGGAAAAAATTCAGGATATATTTGAAATATTATTTAATAAACATGCAAAGTTTAGAATTAATATGTATTATATTTTTCTTTAAGAAAATTCCCAAAAATCGCCTTTATTTTCAGAGCGTGAAACTAGGAAGACCCCTTAAATAACTCGCGCTGTAACATCCACCGCGTGCCCGCATAGCGGGATTCAATCAATTATAAAACTAATCATTGCTGGAGGCGGCAAATAAATATTAAATAATAACAATAATAATTAAATAATAATTAAATAATTAAATATTAGTGATCAATATAATAATATATAATTAATATTAATATTATTTTTAATAATAAAATATTAATACTGTAATATATATATATATAGTATATATACATGTACTATAGGTAAAGACTTACGTAATTTACCTACAGACGACTATCGATACGGAATTATACATATATAAATATACGAAGAACGCAAATGAAGCATTATTATTATTAATATTATTATTATTATTATTATTATTAATATTATTTATTATTAATAATTGATTATTATTTAATAATTTAATAATTTAGTTAAATTATTTAAAAATTAAACGTTTTCTTCGTATAGGATTTACAATTGGTTAATATTAGTCTATCGCCATAATGTACGATGTAGGCATAATACATACGTACATAGGAAACCACAAAATAAAATCAACTGTGCAGTAAAAATCAATACTTATCACCTGACTTGAAAAAATCAATAACATATGACAGATCAGTATGCATATAAATGTAGTTACGGTCCTGAGTGCGCGGAGTTCTACGCGATATCATTGGCAAACTTTGATCGCTTATAACTCAAAAACTATTGCAGCCTCAAAATTTTTGTATTAGAATTTTTGACTCTAATTTACCTTTAAAACATGCTAATAAAGTATTGTACAAAAGTTGTAAAACACCCTGTATAATCCTTCCAAATTTCTAAATTTTTAAATTTTTAAATTCATAGTTTTCGTACATTATCTTCTTACCTGGCGATTCGAAACATTCCGCAGGCATACTGTTGATAGGCTATCAATAAGGTTCCTGTCGCTAATACTGTGACTAGTCCTACGAATAGAGCAGCGTTTCCGTGCAACAAAATCAAATAGAAGTATTTTTTCTGATCGACAAAATACTCGGTAACAAATATCCTGCTCAGCGGAGGACGTGATAGAGTTTCGTTTGTAAATAATAAGATGTCGAGAAAGTGCGGCCAGAATGGATACAAAATTATAACAGGTACAAAAATTATGAAGATCACTAAAGAACGTTTTAAAGACAGTACACCCGTTGAGAAGATTTACTTCAAAAATTTACTAATCGCTTTTAAATAAAACATATACACTTAATATTTAATGAAAGTCAAAAGCAATTGTCTTACGCATTAATCCAATCGTGTAACGTTTTGCATAGCTGCCGCACTCTTTCATAATACTGATTTCATGCTCGTCCGTTAACTCGTTATACATGTTCAGCAATTGCTCCAACAAACACTTCACCTGTCGTTTTTACACAATATTTTGTAAAGTTCAGGAAAAAAAAGATGTATTCATAGTATGTATAAAAATTTATTTCTCGGAAATGTTTATCTGTATACACACAAAAATACGATATGCAATATATAGTTTACTTACAATTTTAATGTTAATACAAAACCAAGTATATTGAATAACAAAAGTAACAAAAAATAATGCAGAAGAGAAAACGCTAATGAAAAGATCCGGAGTACATTTTGAAGTAAGAAACGTTGTAAACTGTAAATAATAGTTTAATTATTTGTATTAAAATTATTATTTTTTTATTTGATTAGAAAAGTACATATCCTTGATCAATAAATAATATCGTTTAATATCGTTCCCAAATATATATATATATATACAGAGTGAGTCATTTTAATCAACGCACGCAAATATCTCGTAAAGTAAACAAGATGGAAAAAAATGTTCTATACAAAAGTTGTATGGTTCAAAGGGGGACACATGATGAAAATATGGACTTGACCTTGAGTGACCTTTTCAAGGCCAAGTCAATGTGAT